CACAAACAAACTGTCACCACAGTGGTTTGTTGCCAAACGGTGTGCAAACAAAGATGCAACAGGAGACGTGTTTATTCCTAGCAGATGACACAATTAGGGAAACAACTGACAGGCAAATAAACACCATGAGGCAAAGCATCTGTTAAACGGAAAGGGAGGGGAGGCGACCGTTTTACGGCCGCTGTTCATGCTGGAGCTTATGAGACGATGTTTATTGATGCACTGTGACGCAGGAAAACAATTTCACACAGCAATTACTGTCTGCTGAACAGGAATGAAACAGAAAACAGCTTCGTGTCTAGGAGACGGGGAAAACAGCCGCGTCAACAGGTTTGTTTCATCGGCTGTTTTTGCCGGTTGTTATACAGCTAATAGAATCATCATATTAGCCACACTGTGTGTGTGTGCGTGTGTGTCCTTGGATGTGCCAAGAAACCTTAACGCATAGTTTTTTTTAACTAAACTAAATGCTTCAAGAAAGATTTTGACCATCACTAGCGCAGTTAAAAATTACGCTTTTAAAATATTTCCGGTAGTAAACTAATACTATTGGCGATTTGGTTTGCAAACACAAAAAGGTGATTTCATTTAAATTGTAAAAATAATCACAGAACACGTCAGTACCTTTTCTCTCTGTTTCTGTGTGCGTCGGTTCTTTTCTGCTCTGGTTCATGTGAGAGCTGCAGCAGTTTCAGCAACATCCCTTAGTTCTCATTGGTTGAGATGCCTAACCAAGACGAGCCAGTTACAAATTGGTGTGAATCAACATCCGGCCTTCCTCCTTTCAAAGAGAACATAAAAAAAAGGTGTGAGGTGATCATCAACTTGTGGCCCGCAGGCCAAATCCAGCGTGTTAAAGCAACCAATCTGGTCTGTCTGGGCTCCAAAATTGTGAGGACCAAAGAGAAAGTTTCTTTGGTAGCCTCCAAACCCCGCATTGAAGCAACTGCAAAAAACAACAGTTGAGACTTAATTATTTATCAGTAAACCATCAAAAAACAACAGTGGAGACTTAATTATTTATCAGTAAACCATCATCATTTATGACTCTTGAAAAAAAAATTGATTTTTTTTTCAGTTTTATTTGAGTGTCTGGCCCCCGAGGTATCTGTCCAGACAAATTCTGGTCATACGACAAATTTAGTTATAGTTAACACTACTGGTTAATCACAAACAAATCTTATACTGTATTAACCTTTAAATACTAGTTAACCTGTAATCTGGGTGTCATTTAAGTGATGTCGAGGACAAATGATGAAAAGAGCCGCCGCGAAGACGACAAAACATCTGCGTCACAGCAAACGATATGAACCGATGGTGACATCCCATTTACAGCTCAAGCAGCACGAACAAGCAAATAAACAGGCGTCCCTGGTCCACATGTCCTTCTCAATTTCCCTCTCCCACAGTCCGCCGCTTCTCCGAATAATGAAGGGAATCGGAAATGTCGAGAAAGTGTTTAAACCTCAGCTGATGTCTTACTTACGGCTTCAGAACACGACCTTCCCCCCGAAAACATGAGCACAACATGGTACAATAGGTAAAAAAAAAACAAGCGTTAGAAAAAAAGAAAGAAAAAAAGAGTCACTGGCACAGTTTGAAATGTCACAACATGAGACAGGGGGAGTGGGGGGGGGGGTGTTGTCTGCAACATCAGGGAAGAAAGGATGGGATCTGAAAACACTTGTGCGACTCCTCACTCCTTTCATTCCTGTCTGACTCTTGTCGTTCTCTCAGGCAGATGTTGTCAGCGCCACATCGCGGGGCACGTCGCGTGACAGCAACTTTGAACTTCATCGCTCACCGATTTGAGAGGCCTGTTATTTTCTTGTGTTTTTTTTCAAGCAGAAGTCTTGTTTTATCGCTAACTGCAACATGTTGTCTTTGCATCTTCGTGGCAACGCCTCCAGGTATCGGAGAGATTAGAGACAGCGAGAGGCCCGTGTAACAGAGCAAAGCTGCAGCGAAAGGGGGTCTTTAAATATTTAGGGTGCGAGTACGATCACACGTCGTTGCCCTTAGAAGAGAGGGGAAGAAAGGAAACACAATTTTTCACATGGATGTTATACGTTATACGTGCGGCTGTGATTCTGTTTCGGTGTCATTTAAGTTTGGACGTTCAGTACGTACGGTGTTCTTGTGTAAATAAACCAACTCTAAACGTATCACAGAGACGAAGCTGCTAATGAAACCTTGAAGTTTCACGCAGTTTCACGTTGGGCGGAGACTTGAATTATTTGTGGGGGAGAAATAACAAACACGTAAGTCACAGTGTAAGGGAGGCGGACGTCTTCAGCCTCATGTCAGAGACAATTAAAGTCCTCAGATATTCAGCCTATTTGCATGGTAAACCAGGTCCATGTCAAGGGGCTAATGGACGCCGCTAACTGAGGTGATTCATTTCATGCGACACAACTTGAACTCTTGTTTTTAACTTGAGAGATGAGAGATTGTCTTGTCTTCTTTTAACTGACGCCAAAAGTCTAAAGTCAAATGTTTTCTAATTCTCACAGTAGTTCAAAAGGACAAGGACTTTCAGGAACATGAACCACACAAATCCTCCGAGGATGAGGGACGGGTTTGAGGCCCGCACAGAGAGACGTGAGCCTTGAGTGGACCGCAGGCAGGTCTGCAAATGTAGCCAAATTATCTAAAGGTCATCATTATGTCACCTAAACCTGTTTTGTGAAGAAAGGGGGCGGAGGATACGCATGGTTTAAGCTGATTGGCTAAGAGCAGTAGTCCCTGTAAAGGAAGGAGTTTGTGTTCACATAAATTTAAACAAATGATTGTATAGATCAGATTAGATGAGATTAGACCAGATTAGACAAGACTGGACTGAACTGGATTGGACTGGTTTTTACTGATCCTAGTGATTTTTTTTGTGTACGTTCGTTCACTACCTCGCGAATACATCAATTATCAAAAGCTGATTGGCTAAGAGCAGTAGTCCCTGTAAAGGAAGGAGTTTGTGTTCACATAGATTTAAACAAATTATTTTTGGATCACAGAAATTGAAAAAAATGATTGTAGAGATCAGATTAGATGAGATTAGACTGGATTAGACAAGACTGGATTGAACTGGATTGGACTGGTTTTTACTGATTTTTTTTGTGTATCGTTAACTACCTCGCGAATACATCAATTATCAAACATCTGGCCAAAGTCTCTTACGTCTGGTCACATGAATGTGCGCACAGACGTTTACAGTCATTCTTCCGCCGCCACGAGTTTTAATGGCTGACAACATGGTATCATAAACACATCGGAATGAATCACCTCAATGCTAACAGCCATTTAACGATGGCTATTATTACAGAGCTTATGGATTCATAGAGGAGCGAGCGGAGAGCGAGAACGCACGCCGCCATGTTTCCTGCCGTCTGACAAAAAAAAGAAAAAAAAAAATATCGATGTTCCATCTGGAAAAAACAGATGGCAAATTAAGACAAGTGTCGCCATTACTGCCACCTCTTCATGTCCTGTCTAATTAGTCAGATTACATTTAATTATAACATGGTCGTAATCTTAGCGGTATACGACGCTCAGGTCTTTCTGATATGAAAATGACAGGAAGGAAAACATCATTAATCTGCCCATCTGCTGTCTCCTCTTCACACACACACACACACACACACACACACACGGTGATCTGTTCGCGTGGCTGATGGCGGGAGACTGCAATTTTCTAAGCCACAGAATTGTTCCCCGACCGAGGGACGGATGGGTGGGTAGCTATGTCCGGTCCGAGGCGGCTGCACTTTAAAATGTATTTGATACTGTAAGAGGAGTGACCTTGAGATCAAAAAGTTGTCGGATTTATGTCCAGCTCGGAGAGAGAAACAATGGAGCCGTCGCTAATTGTGACGTTACAAACCAGCACACAGCGAACAATCAGAGGGGGATTGATTAGAGGAGTGGAAAGGTGGGCGACTTTGTGAAAAGGTCAGTGCACACTCTACCTGGAGTTTTTAATATTTCTCTGCCTCCGCTGTGAATGTGAAATAAAGTGAGAAAGAAAGAAAGAAAGAAAAAGTGCAACTCCTGTGTGATTACAGAGTTTCAGGAAAGTGGTATTTTTTCCCCCCAACGCATTAGTGAAATAAGATGGTAATTTTTCCCCAGGCCGGGGTGTATCCAGGCAGAAAATGATAAAAGGAAATAAAGATAGAGCAGAAAGGAGGTGAGGGAAGGGAGGGAGGGAGGGAGGAGTGGGTGGAGGGGGGGGGGGGTGTTCTTCCTCTCTGCTTCACCAGCAGGGGGGGCAGGCGAGGAGGTTAATTGAGGGGTTAACAGGGGGTGGTGTCAGCTGAAGGTCAGACTACTGTTCCAGCCAGCAGGAGGTGCTTGCTCCTGGGTGGAGGGGGGGTGGGGTGTTCTTCCTCTCTGCTTCACCAGCAGGGGGGGCAGGCGAGGAGGTTAATTGAGGGGTTAACAGGGGGTGGTGTCAGCTGAAGGTCAGACTACTGTTCCAGCCAGCAGGAGGTGCTTGCTCCCTGATGACCTCACCGAGTGTCGCTGACCATGTTTCCATGTTAGCGCTAATGCTGGACTGTAATAGAGAGAAGACCAGAGAGACGGAGGTGGCAAAGGTGACGACCGGGAATCGAACGCCTCCTGCAACACACACACACAAAGAAATTCCGATGAATGACACATCATGACATATTTGAGAAATTAAAAGTCTTGATTTAAAATGTCTGATATTTTACCAATGACACATTTGTTGGCCACATCTGTGCACAATTATGACAAGACCGAAAACTCTTAAATCAAACTTTTTATCCTCTGTACCACCTGAGAAAACACTGATCTCTCTGAGTACCACCATGATGACCAACATTAGAACACAGCAGCGTAGGCCTTCACTGTTAGCTTCCACCACAGGAGAGATGTTTATAAAGATGTTTATGTTTCAATGTTGTATAAATGGTATGTTTCAGATTTATTCTATTAAAAATGTAAACGTGAAAATATGAATTTTCTCCACGTACCACTGGTGGTACACATACCACAGTTTGAGAACCAACGTCTTAAATAACAGACTATAGTGTTTTGTAATTGTGAGCTGCAGTTGCTCACAAGTGATTTTTTTTTTTTATTTCACTATCGGTGACTCACAAATGATGTTTCCGTTACAGTGAGTCACATCTGACGGGGTTTTTTTTTTTGAAACTCAACGGTTACTTTCAGTTCCCAAACTCAAGATTTGTACCTCAGCAGCATGTGATTAAAAATCAGACGCACTGTATACAGTATGTAAACTGTAGTCATTTCTTAGCAGTACGCATGCAGTGTTTGCCTGGGTGTGTGTACACTAAATATAGACACGGAGCTGAAACCGCAGCGTGACATCATCCAAGATCGGGAAGAGCTCACGATCCAGACAAATTATTCAGATAATCCAGAATCCTCACAGCAGTGGGTTTTTTTTTTTTTTAGTTTTAACTCCTCTTATTTTTTAAATGATTATAAATGTATTTGGAAATAGAAATAAACAATTCATCAAAACCCATTGTTATTTGGATGTTGCACAACTGTGAGGTACTGTTAAAGTTTTCATTTCATGTCATTTTAAAGGAAGGAAACCGTCAGAAGTCGAAACTACAAATATTTCCGTTGTGTAAAAACGGATGAAACATAACAGGTGTTGATGTGGGTTTTTCTTCTGAGCAAATATATATTTAGATAGAACGAAACAATAATAAGCCATAGTTTTATTCATAAAACTCTTTCTCGGTTTCTAATGTACAAAAGTAATATATGGATGATAACATCTAAGTAAAGTCATACTTCAATCAGAGAGATGAAATAAGAAGCCAATGGAGAGGCTGGAAACAAAGACTTACTATAGCAAACATACAGCACAGTAACGGAAGAAAAAAACAACTTCATGTTCATGTATATATGACTTATTCTTTTTCACATTATCCATTCTTTTTTATATATATATATATATATATATATATATAACACTTCAGCCCATGAAGACTATGAAACTGGTGAGTCAATAACATGACAACATGGTTTCATTTTCTCTAGACATTTTGCTGGATATCGTCTTCTGACTCAAGATCTGGATCTGAACTTCTAATGCGTGTTATTAGTTAATTCATTTTATTAAAGTTATTTCTTTAAAAGTCCAGCATTAGGAATCTTAGCAATCTCCAAATTTTTTGTAGGAATGTTTTCTTCACACAGCAAAAAAAAAAAACAAAACAAAGAGACCCACACTGTTTCCAGTTACATCACGTTTTGGAGATAGAACTAAATCACATAAATTTGCGCGACATAAACTTGGTCTATGAACATTTTTGTTCACATTCCAGTATTGAACCAAACACGAAACTTTTTTTTTTTTTTACTGTGCAGTAAATCCATGTTATAATAGACCGTTATTGACTTTATGGACAACTAGTGCCAGAAAGTAACAGGTAAAAATGACCAATTCATCTTTCATATTTTACCAGTTTGGAGTGTTTTACAGTAGATGGAATGTTACCAAAATTCCATTGGATAAAGTATGCATTTCAAGTGTATAAATGTCACCGTCACAAAAACATATTTTACAGTGTTGTGGTGAAGTACGAATGTTGCAAGTATAAAAACAAATGATCAACAATAAAAGAGAAAAGAACTTTGATTCTATTTGACTTTTGGCTAAGAATACTTCATAGGAACTAAATATGAGAGGAAATATCAGCTCGATTTCAGCCTGTTGTTACAAACCTCTGTGCTGTTCTTCAGCTACAACCTCTAAACGTGCTCAACATATCAATACAAGTGAACTGCAACATGAAGTGGATCGTAACAAGACGTCATTGTCAGACCAACTTGTCAGCTCAACAGACTTTGTCACAGTCTATTACCGACACCATTCTGTAACAAGACGTCTTTGTCAGACCAACTTGTCACAGTCTATTACCGACACCATTCTTCATCAAATTTCTTTTTTTTTTAAAGTATTGTAAAAGTGGCCAAATCTAGCGATAAAATCCAAACTGAAGAAATTCAGTTTAACCCTGTTTTTGTGCACTTTAAATGTTGGGACAAACAGATGGAAGAAAAAAAAAAATTCCAGTATGACGTCAGATTCTCCAGGACATTTGACTTTTTCCCCTCATTTACATAATTTCCATGACTGGAATTTTTTTTTTTTCATGTAGTTTCCAGGTTTTCCAGGATGCTTATTCCGCTCCCTGTTAGCTAAGTTTGTGTTTAAAAACAGCACACCGCCGTCAACTTGGCAGATCAGAAGTGATTTCTACTATTGATAAGGAGCCTTTTCTTGGACGTCTAACAACAGGTCGATGTGCTGAAATCGATTAAAGAGCTCCTTCTCACTTGAGATTTTTATTGACGTTCGTATACGTGTAGTTAATTTGTTCAGCCACACTCTACTACCCTACACACTCGCTAATTTTATTTTTCGCTCCCACATTCACGCGCACTCTCCTTCCAACTGTCTGATGCCAAATTTGACATTTGACAGCAGCGTCATCCCTTTCATTTTCCTTCCAGGGTCCATTTATCCCTTTCATCGCGCTCCACGACACCAACACCACCGACAACATGCTCCTATGTTGGAAAACAGATGCCGCAGCACTCCATGCAGATTTCCAGGCAGTCCGAGGACTCGCAGCAGGCGTCCATGATGCCGCAGTCCATGTCGCAGGGGCAGTTGCAGTCGTCTCCCAGGTCGTCAGTGCAGCAGCAGCAGCAGCAGGCCTCCGACGTGCACGCGCCGCACGAGGCCTGGGCCACCACCATGTTGCAAAGAGTGAGGAATTCGCAGAAGAGGCAGGCCAAGATGCAGTGGACGCAGCAGTCTGGGTCCAAAGACAAAACCATGGCATTACAAAAAAAAAAAAGTTTCGATTTTATTTTTATTTTTTTATAAGGATTGGTCGGCGCTGAAAGCAGGTCAAAGCGAGAGTGAGTGACTGCATGCGTACAGGTGGACCAGAGCAGCGGGTGTCTTGGCAAAAAAGGGTGAGGGCTAACGAGGCAGGGGGGGACCAGGAAAATAAGAAAAATACAAAGGAATGAATTCCTCTCCTGCAGTTTTGATTAACAGACTGTTAAATAATTGTGGCATTATCATGCAAACTGCTAGGTTGATCACACAAAGATGATTAGCCGAGTCCAGAGTCTCTCCCTGGCAAATAGGTGGATTAATGTGGGGAGCGCTCACACCTCTGATTAACATTTAACCTCTTCACTTTATGTGGTTGGTGGCAACTTTCAGCTTTTTTTTTTTTTCACTTTCCACAGAAATACAGTTTCCCTCTGAATTACCAATGTACCCATTAACCATCACAAATTTGTTCCTGAATGGCTTCATTAAACACTGCTGTGATGATTTAAAAATGGTAATGAAACAGGGCGAATACATTTTTCAATCAAATCAATCAATCAACATGTTTTTTAATCAAATGCTATATCCACACCTGGTGGTCAAGGTGGTAACTACAGAATCCAAGTGTCAATGAGAAGCTCTGTAGACTTTAAAGGCCAAGCGTCGGGTACAAAAACAGGAAGAGGGCACGGTTTTGGTTCTCCACTGTGCCTATCAGAGGTTTTTTTTTTTTTTTGTTCCAGATAGTGGAAAAAGTCGACAGTGGAACAAATGGAGTGACTGAGTAACTGTGGAAACTCTGCCCAGAGGAGGCAAAACAGATGAAAAGGGATTCTGATTGAACTGTCGCGTTTGTGAAGATTAGACGTCGGGCTGGTTAAACTTAACCTATATTGTTAAGAAAACCTATCTCCATACCAATAGGAACCATTTTTATTAAGTAAAATGTATTTTAAAAATAAAGTGTAAGCTTGACAAATTAGTTTAAAAGGAGAGGTGTCCTTTTTATATTTGTAGTGGCAACCACTGCTGAAGTGTGGTTAAAAATGTAAAAGAAAATAAAAAATAAAAAAGTTGACAATTTAATTTAGATTTAGTCCTGTTTTGGTCAATTATACTGTTGTAATTTCAGATTTTTTTTTCAAACTATGAAAATTATTTAATTAAACTCATTTTAATTAGATTTAGTTGACTTAAATGTCATGCGTAATATATTCTTATTTAGAAAAGTCATTTGTATTAAAACTTACATATATAGTAAGAAATTATGTTTCAATGAACAGGTGTTCAAATTACAACACAATAATTTAGATAAATATATAGATAAGTATGTGCATATATATAGATATATATATTTACACAGACATATTTATACACATACAATATACATATATTCACATACTATCATGTCTGTGTATTGATATATACATATATACATATATAAATATATATATATATAGACACATATATACATATAAATATATATACACATATATGTGTTTGTCATTCAATAAAGGTTATGTATATATGGCAGTGTTTCAGTTTATGAGTTTGTTCAAATAAAGGATAAAGGTAACTTTTCCTGTCACAAGTGAAGGCTGCACTTGGCTCAGATTTCGTTGTATTAAATCATTCTTAAAAATCATCCACCTTGTGAACCTGGAATACATTCCCAGAGGCAATGTCCTTTCTCTCCTCAAGGCCCGCGGAGCATCGCCGCTTTGCTAACGTTAAAAAAAACATGATGTGGACGGATGCAGAAATACGGCATCGTAAACGGGCCAGATTAGCATAACTTTCATCAGGCCATCTTGAGCTGTCAGAAAGGGCGGCTACTGATTTTGTCAGTAGGGGAAAGAAAAAGTAGGATGATTGTTGTGGACGGCGCAGGAAGGCATGCTCAGGACCTGCTGGATGCTCATGTTTGGTTAATCAAAAAAGAGGAGATTTTTTTTTTTTTTTGTGGTGCTCTGGGGTTGCTGCGCTGACCAGGGGCTCGGTCCGACCGCGGTACAAATAAGATAGCAAAGGAAACATGAAAGAAGCACGCTTGCCAGCGTGTCTGCGTGTCTGTGAGGGTGCCTGGAGTTTGAACGCATCTTATTATCCTTATCTGAAACCTTAATGCTGGCACTGATAGGAGATTCATGAAAAAAAAATATCCTTCCTTATAAAACAACCGGTGTGGAAGGAGTTGAAATGCTCAAGGCTAGTTTGTGGACTTTTTTTTTTTTTCTTGAGCTAAAACACTTGTCAGTTTTTGAGCTGATACCCACAGAAGCACCTGTTATCTCAGCCCTACACAAAATGCCACTGAGAACCATAATCGTGGCCCGTTCACGGTGGAGCACACAGAACCTCAAAGTTCAGCCAAACAAACTTTGAAGGACCCAGTGGGTATACACACAACTCAGTGTGGAACAGTAGACTAGAGTCTGAGATAAACACAGCACATGGGCATTAGACAGTGGCTGGCCATCTCAGCTATTCACTTGGATGTATAATTCAACACCAGCGATTAGTCTAGATCTTAGAGAAGCCAGTGAGAGGGAGGGGAGCGAGAGGGTCGTACACTGTACACAAGAGAGTTTAGATGCACGGCACATCTCTTCGAAAAAAAAAAAAAAAGAAAAGAATGAAAGAAAAGAAAGTCAGACGGAGAGACATGAGTGAAACCAACCAGCAGACAGAAAGATCTGCCCACACTGACACTGCTCCTGTTTAATGTCAACGAGCAGCGATGAAGCCCAGAGTTTGCAGGGGCCAGAAAAGCAGCATCCTGTGTCTCTGAGGAAATAGTCTGAGACATCTGGAAAGCTAACATCAAAAGTGGAAGAGGAAAAAAAAAAGGAGCGAGAGGGCAGCATGACACAAAACAACCGAGATGGGTCATGAAGCGGCAAGCTGTGCAAAACATTCAAAACTCACAAAGAGGAATGCTAGACAATCAAAAATAAAGAGAGAGAGAGAGGTTGGTCAGACAAGGCCTTGGTGGCCGGGGGAATGCACAGGAGGCATGGATGTGTAAAGACAGCGGAGGATAGGGGCTGAACTGTGGAAGTCCAGAACATGTACTTCAAGACTGCTCTCTTTATAACGTATGACGAAGGAAAAAAGTTCAGGCTGGAAGACGACACATGGAGGTTTATGGATTGGGAAAAAAAAACAAAAAAAAACAAAACTGCCTCTTCAGGCTTTGGTCTTAAATCCTAAAGAGAAGATTAAAACGATTACATACAATTAACAAATATACCAACTGGTCGCCTCAAGTGGAGACGACCCAGCACGCTGAACAAAAGCTGCTGGATAAACGACTCCTCAGACGCCGCGGCGTTACATCCAGTGCCAACAGCGTTTGCCAAGAAAACAGAAAGAACAGCAGAATTCCCAGAGCTGGTTCATGCCAGCTTAGGCCTTTTATTTCCTGTGTTCGGGGGCCTGTTTAGGAGGCTAATTTCACAGGCAAACAGATTATGTTAATCCATGTAAACAATCTAACACAACAGCTTGGCTGCGTTCCTGGGGGAAATAAATAGTTGAAAGTGAATATATTGATTCTGAGTGCTCCCGTGTCTGCAAATAAGCAACAGAAAAACACCATAATGAGAGCGACTTGTTGAGCAGCTGTTTTTTTTTTTTCTTCTGTTCTTCACCAATTAAGACGTTGGGAGTCGTGATGCGTCTGCGACGTCTCTTGTGGAGGCATCCCACGTTTACTCACAAAGTGTTGTTGATGTGCGCAAGTACAGTATGCCGGCTTCTGGTTTCTGACTGGAGTTACTGATAGGTATTTCAAGTGTAAAGCACAATCAAAGACTGAGTCTAGAGTCTAGATTTTTTTTTCTTTTAAAAAGAACAATTGAATTCAATTTCATATGAAGGTATTTACAATCTTTTAATCATTACAGCACTTTAAGATCTAATGAAATAGTGAAAGAACCAATGATGGATAATAAGTACAAATAGCCAGGGTGGTTGTAAAAAAAAAAAAAAAAAAAAAAACCAGGGTCAGTAATGATCAAGAACACAAGGGTGTCCACAAACACATGCACAGCGACCACCGTGGCGCGTCATGTCTCTGTTAATGAAAGTCGGGGTGGTGCTGACGGGTTGCGGGGAGAGTCAGAGAGGGTCCAGAGAGGTGTGAGAGGGCTTTGAGGGGCCTGGAGAAGGCTGGTCACGACTTTTAATAGGCACCCCGTGCTCTCCGGTCTCGTTAGACGGTCACACCTATCTCCCCAATGGAAAAAAGACCAGCCAACCGCCTTCATTATCGGACTCACCTCGACATTACACCTGACAAAGTGACGGCTTCCCCGCATGGCAAACGGACCCTCTGACTTGTGGTTAGAGAAAATAAAAACGACGGGAGTGGATAAGATGTCATTTGCTTGACGGGAGTGATAAATAAGAGAGGTCATGCACCGCCATCATTAAAAGGTGAGAGAAGGTAAGAATTTATTAGCAATATCACAGGAGGAATACACTTCAGGAGCGGCCGTAGGTGTATACTTCATACCAGTGTTTCATGCCACGCGTCTACGATTCTCTACCAAAAAAAATCACCTTATTTCAGACAGAATAATTTGACTTTATGACTTGTTTTTTGCTCAGTGTTTTTTGTATGTGATGCATGTTTTTGTCCTTCTGTTTATGGAGTTACTTGAAAACCTCAGCATTAGCGAAAAAGTAAAACAATGTTTATGAGTTCTGTGAGTGGTTTTAGAGACAAAGAGATTGGATATAGAGGAAGTAACTAATGTCAAGAACAAGAAGAAGTGTTCAAACTAGGGCTGCCAATTAAAAACAATTACAATTTTAATCAGATTAACTGTGGATTAATAATGATTAGATAATCGTGATTCCGACGTTTAATTAACTATTATTCCGATCACAACAATGTGCAGATAGATGGTGAAATTATTTGGAAATGCAATTTTCCAAATATGTTAAAATCTTTAATCTGGTTAAATATTTTGGAAAAGATGATTAACCTGATTAGCACGGTGTCTCGACAGCCCTAGTTAAAATGGTTAGTAAGGGTGTAAATAGTCACTCACTCTCAACATTACCTGGTGCGCTGATACTCACCTTCTGGTAAAGGCGCCTTCTGTGACCCGGTGGAACTTCCTTTGCTGCGTCGGCTGCTGTCGCTGTTGACTGACAAGCTGGACCTCAGCTTCCTCTGCACTCTCTGTGACACCGGCGTGGACGGCTGTTTCCTGGGCTGCTCTGTAGTCGGCGCAGAAGACGTCCCCTTGGAGCCGGAGCCTGATCCTCTCTCTGCGCCTGTGCTGATGGTGGCGCCGCAGGAGCACACGCGTGGGCCACCAGCACTGCTGATCCCAGGGTGGATTCCGCCGCCATTGCTCAGTGCTGGCGTGCCAGTGCCGTTGGGGCGACAGTTGTTCTGGTCCCTGGCGGAGTCTCCCTCGGTGAAGTCCGACGCTGGTCGTGACTCAGAGTGAGGTTGAGCTGCGAGGAAATATAAAGGACAAGAAATTGCCTTTTTAATGCTGTTAATTGTTAAAGAGAAACTTATCTGCCTTTTAACTCAAACACCAAACCAAAAGCCACTGTTAAAAAAAAAAAAAAAATTCACCAAATCCGGAACTTAACACTGAGAGGAGATAGATTTTTACCATTACGGGTCTACCGCAACTTTATATTAACTGAGAAAGAACTTTATTTGCACTCTCTGCACCTCCACTCATATCTTTTATTCACATATAAAGTTACTGCAGCCTGTGAAGTTCCCTTCTTTCAAAAACCAAGCACCGGTGGAGGCCCAATCCTCAGAAAATCACTCTCAGCAAATCTTGCCACCGTTTCCTAACATCACAATATCGATCATGTGGCAAACACTTCAACCCAGAGTGACAGAGGGAAGTGGTGAGGTACGGGGAAACCTTGTATGTGACAGGTTCACAAAAGCCACCGCTGTAGGCAGACAGACTTTTGTGAGTTGCACCCAGGTGAGTTAAGACGAGAAAGAGGAAGATTAATATGGTTAAAAAAAAAAGAAAAACCACAGAGAACAAGAGCCTGTGATGCTGTGCATATACAAAATAGCTGCTGTCTCCAACGGTAATGATGTACTTTGCTCTCAAAAGCTCAGCGATGGCCTCAACCGGTTTTCTCCGAGTGTATGTGTGACAGTCACACAAAGTCAGGAGACAGCGACCTGTCTGATAAGAAAGAAGGCGACGGATGTTCGCGAAGCAAAGCAGGTGGCATTTTACTGAGAGGAACAGCTGCACATTCAGCTCTACTGGGAGTTACTCCTGCATTACCTTCCTTTTACATCAGAGCCCCGGCGCCTGTGCACAAGCCGTCAGTGCACGGTTAACTTAAGATTTTGTGAATTATTCATCACTTTTCAAGTTGGTCTCTGAGCCGCACTTATTCTACATCCTATACTTTTTTTTTATATACATTTGACATATGGCTGCTTCTTTTTATGCTCTGTTTCGAGGAGTGCACTATGAACTGAGTTGCTTCGTGAATAAATCTCGTTTCAAAATAAACGCTGGGTTCGGTTGTTTTCGGGGAAAACCTTTGTTAGAACGGCGGAAAAAGTGGCGTAGGAGAGATTTTATTGTTGTGTCTGATAAACTTAAAAAACAGTTTTTCAGTTTTTGAGGTGACCATTGGAAACCAACTCAGGCTGTAATGTATGCATGGAACAATATGGTTAGAAATGTTAGCTTATTTTAACTAATATACCTAATTAGCTAATCTTGCTTAATGGCTAATCCTAGCTTCAATCGAAACTAATTTGTGATACGTCGAATTTAATTTGGATTTTATTTTTTCTAGTAGCTGTACATTACTATTTAGAAATAGAGAGAATTGTTGGCAGGTACTGTGTTTTGCAACTTTTCAACAAACATCAGATTCTCTCACAGGGGATACAAGTCTTAATATGACACAGGAAACTTTTATTTTTCCAACTGTCAGCCTCCCAACAAGTGCAATTACAGTTAACAAGAGCAGCAGAGAGTATGGGAATCAGACTGCGAGATTTCTTTAACAACACATCACTGTGGGAGAGGCCGGACCTGCATGTGGATGTAAAACAAAGCAATTAAATACACGCTCTGGGTTTTCCCTTGTCTCTTCACTCAGGCTCCTGCACGCTGCTCCGACAAACAAACACAGACTTAGATAAGATAGAGATTTCATGAAATTTGAATTAGACAGCTGGGTAGGACACAGTAGAATTCATTATGCAGCGTTTTAAGACCAGGTTGATGGAATTTCCAACCTGCCCGTGACAATTTGTGGAAACAGAGAATCACTAACAGAGAGGCCTTGAGGAGACACTACACGTTAGCGTTTTTCCCTTTTCTTGTTTATGTTTTCTATCATGTTGGATTATATTACACTGGAGTAGAGTCATCTGAGTAACTAAACAGTGGAATGTTCTACGTGACAGGAAAACTTGACGATGTAGAACCGACAACAAGCAAGTGGTCCGGCCTGTTTTCCTACTTACTCTGCTTTACTGGAGCGGAGCCGTTTGATTTGCTTGTTTTTCTGTTGAAATGTAACATCACTCTGTTTTCATTGCATTCATGATTCCTCAGCCCCACCCCCCTCACCTCCCTCCGCTCACCACCATGCTTTTATGTGTAAACACACACATCGCTGCCTGACATTTATTAGGTCGACGGGGGAATTCCCTTTCTACGTTATAATAATTTACTTGTCGAAACTCATTTACAAAAACCTGACATGCAAAACAGAGCCAAATGCTTGGCAAGAAAGAAAAAAAAAAAAACAACACACCAACAAATAGAAAATAAATGCACCTGTTTCTTATAAAGGCAACACAACATGTGCTCCTGACTTGAGGGAGACTGTTCTTTACCAAATCAATCACCTTTAGTATCCTTTAATAATACAGTTGTCCTGCCAATTCGGGAAAAGCCAACGACCTCCACCACACATGAACACAGGCTCGTGCACAAATACACCAAAGTAGACTTCCAGACATAATTACCTTTCCTTTTGAGGAAGGCAAGCCTTCAATTTACCCGAGTACAAACAGTTATTAAGAAACCACCATGTAAAACCCAAGTGCACAGGCAGAATCTTGGGTTTCGCACAAAACTGAAAAAAAGCCACTGCGATAATGATGATTCTGTCAAAGATGGCAGTGAAGGACTTGCACAGTCACCGTGAGACGGATGAAGACAATAATGAGGGAAACCAGAAATAAGGTAAAAGTTCTGTTAGGAACTGTCTCGTACGATTGTCTCGTACTTGTGCCAAGTTGGTTAATCAAAGAGTATTGTACGGAGACATTTGCATATATCAGACAACCTGCATATTTCACCTATTTTTAAGGCGGTGCAAATCGATCAAGAGTGAATTTACTATGATGTGGATCTGAGAAATGATTGTATATATTTCAGTTTTTAATATATTAGAGATGATAAGTAAATATTTCACTTGCTGTATGACATCTTGAGTTATTTTTTTTTTGACTTGTGAAGCTAAGTGTTCATATTGAAACTAATTATTATTCCAAGTCTTCATACATGCAACATTTTCAGTGACATGGTTTATCCGTGTACTGCCTTTTACTGTAAGTCTCAGTGATCAACAACTGGTGACTGGATTCCTAAATAAAGATCAAATCAAAATGTTAGACAAAAATGTGATTTTTTATTTAATTTTAATTCAATGTCCGGCACCGAATATGTCCGTCCAGATAAATTCTAACCCTCCTACAAATATAGTTGTCGACCTCTAAGACAAAGTAAGTAAAAAAAAATAAGCTCAGTTTCAACTTACAACTACAACAACTAGAGCTTCACTTTAGTTTGGGCTCCTCCGAGAGGTCAGTTCTCCTGCAGAGATAACAACGTTATTACTGTTTTCCTTCGTTGTTCATAACACGTTTAAGCCAGTTTATAAATCTTTAATGTGTTACCTAATCCAGGAATGCATAGAAATGTTTTAAGTTTTAAGTTCAGTGCTGAATAAAAGAAGAGAAAATAGTTTTTTTTACCCTCAGTGTTAAGCAGCATATAGAACAGTAAAGTTTCAGTGCACAACTCGCATGTATTTTGGGGTGAGGCCAATGGTGCAATTAAGACACACTGCTGCAACATCTGGCAACAGAGCAGAAAACACAAAGAGCATCAAAATTTGATACCACCATCTACCACTACTGCGAGTTAAAAAATATATACTGTCTAACTAGAGGAGTTGGTACACGCTTGAAGTTGAGAGGCGGTAGGTGTCCTGAGATAACCGAGTGCACACGGCCTGACAGGTTGCATTAATACGCGATGTTTTTCGAGGAACAATTGGAGGAACATTCATAGACACACTTCAAATTGGACTTGTAACCGCCCTATTTCTAGCACATCAACAACTGTTGAGGGTGTACATTTGTAGTTGAATAAAACATGGTATTCCCCTACACACGCTGTCACACACATCACAAGGGAAACTAGGGGGTGAGTAGTTCTTGACTGTCTAAGCAGCATCCCAATTTGGTCCCAGCTACTAGTAGCTGACAGCTTCAAATACCCGGGGAGCATTTTAAAAGGCCAGTGTTTGATGGATTCATGAAGAACACACAAATATAATTGCCATTTGTCACCGAGTCTTCAGTGGCTGCGCCACACAGGGACCGTGCACCGGCGTGCCTGGAGAGCACTGGAGCTGTGCCAGAGCTGTGCAGGGGGATCGCTCTGTATGTAAAACTGAGTATATAAACACCTTCGTTTTTGTCACAGAAAATAGGTCCTGGAGGGGGGAGCCGGAAATTGCACCCAAAAGACAGAGGAGCAGTGTACACACACGCTTTCATACATATATATATGTCAAGTCTGCTGCACCTCGCGCCCGCGCACACACACACACAGACATGCAACGCAGACCTACCAGGAAGCAATATGCATGCATGCATGTCAGGTGAAACAGAGCTGTATAAACAAGAATTCTAAAATAGTCCGGAACATGAAAAAATAACACAGAGGTCAAACAGGGCAGTATGGAGATTCTCATTTGCACACGGTTGCGCCGGGAGTTGCAGGTGAAGCAGGGCGGCAGATTGAACAACCACACAGGCTGTGTTTTTCCAAAGCTCAGTCCTTTTTAATATTAATGCCCCAGAGACACGGGGAAAGAAAGAGAGGGAGACAGAAAAGGTGTTTGCCTAAGCTTATTAGAATGCCCATCATAGAGTGCATACGGTTATCCAAACGTCATATCAAGTCATCTGAATAAACACAACAATCCAGATCTTCCCTTCATCTCCTAATGACCGCTATTACACAATGCCGCCAGTTTGTGAATTTAACATTGAAACGAATACGAGAGCAGAAGCGTGGTCTTTATTATTTTTTTTCTATTTTTTTTACTTAGAAGTCCCAAACAGGAAGGTGCAGAATACATAACAGCGGTTAGCTCTGAAATGATAATTTTGCTAACGCGGGCCAGTGATTTGTTTATCT